ATGTTTATACTGTATTTGATTATGTTTATTTGCAGCTAGTTACACGAATTCAGATATGAAGCTTTAATAAGTTATAATTACGCATAATCTACTTGCAATCTTGAGTTTTAAGTAATATGCATTAATAAATAATACTTTACGTATAAAAAATGATTTTTAAGAGTTTTTGTCAAATGCTTTATAATATAGTGTAGATTAGAAGTAAATTACAGAATTTATTTAAAAAAATGACAATAACGTAATTTCCAATAAAAGGTAGGGGCAAAATGGAGAATCGAATGTTCTTGGATTGATACAAGGGAGTAGTTTTGCAGATCTATCGTACTCAACCCCACACTTCACGAGTTCAGTCTTTGTCAAGCTCACAAACCCACTTTCACTTTCACCTTTCTGGTCATCAATGGCCACCGTCGGAGCCTTCAACCCACCTCATTTCTTCTCTTCATCCTCCTCCGGCGCCGCCATTGTTGCTGACCGGAGATACCTCCATGCTCCCTCCTTATCCTTCTCCTCCTCTCACCTCTCCGGCGACAAGATATTTTCGGCATCGTCTGTCAGACGACGATGCTCTCGAGGTCGAGCTTCGGTGATTGTTTCTCCCAAAGCTGTTTCCGACTCTAAGAATTCGCAGACATGTCTTGATCCTGACGCTAGTCAAGTATGACTTATGATCCTTCATTTTCTCTCCGCCTTTTTTTCAGTATGATCGTTATATGTGCTTGCATCTTGTATTCGGTAGACGCTGATCATTTCACGCAATTTTCCCAGATTTTCAACTAAAGGTCTGTTTAGATCTAGTAGAGTACATATATGTTGTTAATGGAAGTAGAGATTATCTGTATCTTCTTCATAGTCGGGTACTGTAAAGCTTATAGAAAGCAGTGTGTGTAGAAGTCACTTGAAATCCACTACCATTACAGGTTCAGAGCACTTATGATAATCTATGTCCGGTTAAAACAAGAACAGATGCAATCACACTACAAATTCGGGATCTTTTCTTCCTGTAATTTCCTTTAGATAAATGGCTTAAAGTTCTTATCCAGGAGCAAATCTTTCTTGTTGATCGCATTACAAATAATGGGATCACAATGAGGTGTCATTTCATGTAAGATATGTAGTTAAGAGTTTTGTTACTTGTCTGGTATCTGTGCAGAGTGTCTTGGGGATAATACTTGGAGGTGGAGCTGGCACACGTCTTTACCCTTTAACAAAGAAGAGGGCAAAGCCTGCTGTTCCCTTGGGAGCAAACTACAGGCTTATTGATATCCCTGTTAGCAACTGCTTGAACAGCAACGTATCGAAGATTTATGTTCTTACACAGTTCAACTCCGCATCGCTCAATCGCCACCTTTCGCGTGCTTATGCGAGTAACATGGGTGGTTACAAGAATGAAGGGTTTGTTGAAGTCCTTGCTGCTCAACAGAGTCCAGAGAATCCAAACTGGTTCCAGGTAATTAGGAATCCAAGCAATGTGCACTGTGGTTATGTTTAACTAGCTGATAAGTTAGCCGTTAACTATAAGCTAGCTGTTAGCTGCAAAACCAATTGTTGGCTAATAAGTTAGCTGATAGCAGATAAACTAGATGATATCATGATAATGTAAAATGATTTAAAAAGCATGGGGTTTTGGTCATTTATGTAAAATATAAGGGGCACAATTGGAACAAATGAAAAAAGCCCATGTAGCTTATGGCTTACCATGGTTGCATCAGCTACCGTCTTTTGAGCTCATGAAGTCATGAGGCAGATGCTCACAATGATGGAGTTAAAGCTTCTTCTGATGCTTCACCATTCCTATCTTATATACCTTCTAATCTCCTGGTTGCAGGGTACTGCTGATGCAGTAAGACAGTATCTGTGGCTGTTTGAAGAGCATAATGTTCTAGAGTTCCTAATCCTTGCCGGAGATCATTTATACCGTATGGATTATGAAAGATTTATTCAAGCTCACAGAGAAACCGATGCTGATATTACTGTAGCAGCTCTGCCAATGGATGAAAAACGTGCCACTGCATTTGGTCTAATGAAGATCGATGAAGAAGGGCGTATAATTGAATTCGCAGAGAAACCAAAAGGAGAGCAACTGAAAGCTATGAAGGTTGATACCACCATTTTAGGCCTTGACGAAGAAAGAGCTAAAGAGATGCCTTATATTGCTAGTATGGGTATATATGTCATCAGCAAAGACGTAATGTTGAATTTGCTGCGCGATAAGTTCCCTGCAGCAAATGATTTTGGAAGTGAAGTAATTCCTGGAGCAACTTCTATCGGGCTAAGAGTATGCTTCATTTCCTTACTTTTTTAAATTAGCCTCTATTCAACCACAAGGGCGGTGCCTGATTGATTTGAGCTTGGCTCCAAAGGCCAAAAGTACCTGGAGGTTCCAGGTTCAAATCCAAGGAGGAATAAAAATCCCCTTATGGCCACGGAGTTTGAGCAGTAATGCATTTGAATACTCTTTTTAGTAACAAATCTTAATATAGATATTGCCAACTATCCAAAATCTATATGTGACAACTAATTTTCCATCTATGTAGGTACAAGCTTACCTTTATGATGGCTACTGGGAAGATATTGGTACTATTGAGGCTTTCTACAATGCCAATCTGGGAATCACGAAAAAGCCGGTACCTGATTTTAGGTGATTCCATTTTAAACAGTGTTTATGTCTGTTGACGTTCTATGAACCTGGTTACACAGTGGTTAAGTTATCTTTCTGTAGTACTAAAAGGTTTGTGTGGTGGTCTTGTATGCTTGATGCAGCTTCTATGATCGTTCATCGCCCATTTACACCCAACCTCGATACTTGCCTCCTTCCAAGATGCTTGATGCTGATGTCACGGATAGTGTTATCGGTGAAGGGTGTATGATTAAGGTTAGAAAATAGGAACAATCCATGATCTGCTACTAAAGTAGTACAACATGCTAGCACATGATCAATGGCATATTTTCATGTGGTAAAAAAGTCGTAGAATGAAGTTCATATGATGATAAATTGGTATCTTTATTTGAATCTTGGTTGTGCAGAACTGCAAAATCCATCATTCTGTTGTTGGGCTTCGATCTTGCATAGCTGAAGGTGCGGTCATTGAAGATTCATTGCTGATGGGAGCAGATTATTATGAGGTAATATGCCATACAGTTGTGTATATATATATATATATATATATATATAGGGTTGGGTTCACGTGAGACCAATGGTTTTTTATAAGACCCGTAAAACCAATTTATGTTCATTGATCAACTTTATAAGCTAATGATCTAATGGTCTAAAGTTGCACGGTGGCAATTTTGTAATTATTGAGAAGTCTCGTGGCGTTTATGAATATTCAGATCTGACGATTGTAGATCTAATCCAAGGGTTGAGAATTGGTCTTACGGGTCTCGCAAAAAATCATTGGTCTCATATGATCCCAAGTCTATCTATATATGTGTGTGTGTATATATATATATATGTATGTATGTATATAGGGTTGGTTCCCTGTGAAAAATGCCATTTTTCACGAGAAAGGGGAGAACTGTAACATTAACATAAGATCGTGTAATCTTCAAATAATATATGCGAATGTACCCTTACATTGTGTGAACGCTTGTGGTGGTAACCACCTTCACATAAACTAGGGAAAGTACACATTCAGGTATGAACGTAATCTTCACGCAATATAAGGATACCTTCCCCATTTTTTTTTTCGACATGATCCCAAGTGTGTGTGTGTGTGTGAATAGGAACCTTCCTTATCTTTATGAAGTTTCTTTTAGAAAGAGACTTAAAAGGGTTCGATATATCCTAACATGGTATTAGAGTCAGGCGTCTGATTTTAAAAATCACAATTATTACTTTTGTGATCCAGACGGATGCTGACAGGGAGCTTCTTGCTGCGAAAGGTAGTGTTCCAATTGGTATTGGAAAGAATACTCATATTAAAAGAGCCATCATCGACAAGAACGCACGTATAGGGAACGATGTGAAGGTAACTTCTAGTAACGTGTTTCATTTCTTGATATTATTATCGAACGTAAAGGCTTTTAGTTGTTTAATGTGTTACGTTGTGATGTCAGATTATAAACAGCGATAACGTTCAAGAAGCAGCAAGGGAAACAGATGGGTACTTCATAAAGAGCGGAATCGTGACCGTAATCAAAGACGTGTTGATTCCTTCTGGCACGATAATATGATATAGTTGATACGGGAATCTTGTAAGGTGCATTTTGACATAATGTTGTTAAAGTTGTAACAGTGGATTATGGTAGTAGAATGTGAAATGTAAAGGTACCATTTTATTATTCTATAACAATAAAATTTCCCTCTTCTTTACTTGCATTTAATCAGGCATTTTAAGCAGGGCCGGTCCTAAGATTTTTGATGCCCTGTGCGAAAATAATAAAAAAATGCCCTTAAGCTTATTTTTTTTAGTAAATCAAACAACGAAACATGCGATTGTTTAAAGAGTTTAGAACCTATTTAAGCTAAGTATCTCATCCTCATGTTGATTTTTATTAATTATAATAAAGAAAATACAATGGGAGGGATATAAAAACCAAAACCCCGAATACAATATATAAAAGGATAAATCCTAGATTAAGATCATGCTTCCTTTTTTTTCCAGTTTTCCCTTTTCCAAATTGAAATTAGCAAAATAGAAACTTTATTTCAATACGTGGGACTTAAAACACAAGGAAAACTATAATTAGTTTTTAACTAAAATAATAAATTACATTCAAATTACTGTTATAGTAAGCAAAAAGTAAACTATAAGGTTACAGGTCTAATGACTAAAGGCTAAGGGTCTATCTGTTAGCAGCTTAACAAATTTAATGGAACTAACAACTTATTCGCTCAACTATGCATGACTGTTTCGTAGTGGCTTAATGATATAGAAAATGACTTATCCAGTAAGTTCGTAGGGGGAGCTTTATATAGAAAACCAAGTTTTTTTTTTTCTTCCAAACATGTCCCTTCCAACTAAAAAAACGCTCATTGCATCTGCGAAAAAACTCTCCTAAACAAAAACTTTTTCAACTTATACAAACAGATTAATTCATACAGACAACTTTATACAACAAAAACTCTTCCAACTTTTCAACTTTTTCCAACGATGTACATTCAATATTAATCACTACTAGGCCTTGGGTCTGTTTTATAGTTAAAATCCAGTTGTCCAATTCTCAAATTATTAAACTCAAAACTAGTAATAAATGATAATTTGATGCCCCTTTAGGCTTTGATGCCCTATGTGACCACACGGCCTGCCCGTGACCAGGGTTAGCCCTGATTTTAAGAGATATATATATATATATATATATATATATATATATATATATGAACCGGTACCATAGGTACTTTGACAGTGAAAGAGGCGAAAAAACCCTTTATTTAAACATTTTTAACTAAAAAATGAGCCAAGCGGGGCAGCTACCGAAATACAGTACATAAATTTGTATCCTTTGATGAGTAGTATTTCATCATATTTGGAATGAAATTAAATTTCATATAAAACAAATTACAAAAATAATTAAATTACCTTTTATTAATTGATTATTACACAACACATGTTTTAACATATTTTAAAATTTTATTACAAACAAATCCTATAAAAATTTCGCGAAATACCATCCATCTCCACTGGATTTCAAGATCCTATATTTGTGGGATTTTATTGATATCAAATTCTAGGAATTCTTCAAATCAAACATGTGATTGGAACGTAATTCAATTCCAAATCTCATCCAAACTTGCAAACCAAACAAGACCTTAGTGAAAAAGACGGTTAAGGAGTTGGCAGATATGTTACCAAAGTGCTAAGATAGTTTGGAGTTGTATGGTTTCTTTTGCTATGTGTATATTCCTAATAGTAACCAAACCAAACCAAACCAAACCTAAAAAACACAATATATCCCATCACGAGGTGGGGTCTGACTCTGAGTTGAGATATATGCAGACCCGACTTCTGCCTCAAAGAACAGAGCAAATTGTGTATATTTCTAGTAGTGTTATTGAGAAATTCATCAACAGTTAACCGAGATAAATAAGTGTCAAGAACAAAAACTGAATAGTTCATAAACTTAATGTATAGAGGATGGGATCAAAAAAATATTACACTAGTTGCTGTTGATATAGTTTGCTTGCTTGCTTCCTTGAACCCGAAATTTCCACAAAGATGAAGCTCAAAACAAAAATGTGAGTTGTAGTTAATCATCTTCGCGGTAACTAAACTAAACTAACCTAAAAGTTGTGGCTTCTGTTCGGTTCTATTTCGCCATATTCCTCCATTTATCCTTTAGGTCAGAAGGATTGCGAGATGCATCAAATACATGACGCCCAAACTCCAATATTTTCTTCCAAGGGAGGTTTTTGCGTGTTAATAGTGAGAATTTTTGAACTCCTTCCTGCAGGATTTACAACATCAATTCAGGAACACAAAGATAACTAGTTAAGCAATAAGCAAAAAAATCATCATTTCTTCTAAACAAGATTCTATAAGATATATGATTTCACTTCCTTCTTTTTAGTAACATCCCCAACCAACCGTACCAGATATTTTTCGCTTTAAAGTTGTATGTCCATGTGTGGACAATTTGCGCATACTATCCGGTACGGATGACTGGTGTGCCAACGAAGACAATGGGCTCCTTGCAGGGGGGGGGGGGGGGTGGATTGTGAGATCCCACATAGGTTGGGAGGGGAACAAATGTTGCCTTATAAGAGACCGGATAACTCCTCTAATAGAAGCATTTTAAAATCGTGAGTCCAGGTGTGGATAAAGCGAACAATATCTGGTATGGTTGGACAGGGGGATTATTGCTATAGATAAATGTTTCCATAGTCCCATTAACAATCTAATCACAGTCCTCTTTGGCCTGGTTTGCGTCTTTACAGTGAAAACTATCATGTGTTATCTTTCCCGATTGTCTTTGAAAACGATGACAACAATACAATGAAAGGTGAATCATATGCATGCCTAAAACTCATATTAAAAGGTTATGGAACAGCAAACCTTAAGCATCTCTTCTTCTTCTTCACTCCATTGTGCTCTATGTCTCATACTCCTAAAGACAAACCAAATATTAAAAGAATTAATACATAACAGAGTCAATGTGAAATTGTGAATAAATATAATAAACATACTTCACTTCAGTATAAACATCACAAGAGAAAACAAATTCATTTCGAACCTGTCGATTACTAACTGCTGCTTAGAAGAATCTTTAAGCACTCCTCGATTGCTGACGTTAATGCTTTCTGTATGACTCATCACACCAGTCTTGGCTTCTAAAGATCCCTTTGTCGCACCATTTGGATGATCTAACAAATGGGTTGGTCCATGTCTTGAACGACTACGATCTTTCAAGAAAATGTTACTGTCTGAGTAATCATTATTGATCTTGCTATTAGATTTTGAGTGCAAGTGCATACCATTTGGTAAGGATAGCAATGTTTCTGCTGCCTGTTCTATCATGCATTCTTCTTTTCTACTGTCTCCATTCTTGTTGAATGCTGCAAAAGGCTTTCGTTTTTGGTGAGCAATTTCCTTCTTTGTGGATGATGAAATGCATGCATCTTTTGGCTCTGCTGCTTCTTCTATGGAAGTAGTATGCTGTTGATTGTCAACAACTCCATCAAATTTGCGCTTAGCATTTCTGGTTCGATTGTCAACTTTGATCCTTTTGCTAACACCTGACTTAAATTGGTCAGCTCTCATCCTATCTTGTTTACGTGAAATACAATCAAGATCACATGCATCGATAAGATTCGAGTTTGGTTTGTAAACAACCATCACCCTACAAGAATTAACATTATTAATCCCAGGAACCTCTCCATGCCTGTTAGAAAACTCATCAGTTTGTTCGGATACGAAGGTGTCATGAGTTTCTTCACACGGTAAAGGGGTTTTAGAGTTCTGATGTTTCTCTAAATTGATACGTTGATTTTGAACATCATCACAAACCAGTTTGTTCCCATCCACCGAGCAAACTTTGTCTTCTGATAAGATCTGTTTATCTTTATTAGCCAACCCAACTATTGGCTCTTGGTGATTGCCATCTCTCATTTGTTCCTCTAAGAAAGTTGACAAAGCTTTCTTTGCCAACATAGCCTTCTCCCTTAGTTGACAAGCTTCTGCTGTGAGTTGTCTGTAAACACAGTAAGGACAGTGAAAGTTGCCAGCGTCATCCACATAAGCTTCGCAACCCATGCAATCTTTATGGACAGATATAGGGCAGCCATCACCATTACAGACCAAGAGCTTGCCTCCTCTACAACATAATACACATTCTTGCTTTTCTGTCCAATCCATAATAACAATATACCTTTTTGCCCCGACAATTTGATGACCCAAGCTACAAACTTTCGACCAACGAACAAATGTATAGAACTTGTTTATAAACTATGCCAATGAATTCTGTGAGCCACTTCCTTTAGCTTCTTCTATCATTATTTGCAGTAAACAACCATTAAAGCTGGCAAACATGCGTAAGAATGTTTAGAAGAAACCACAGAGCATATATGAGAGTACCAACACTAATCTATCATAACCCATACGTCTGCAGGTTCGGGGTTGGAATACCATATTCAGTGCATTCCAAAAGTTGCAAGTTAAAAGGGAATGATGATTTTCTAACTTTGTGCAACTTTTAGAACTAGTTAGAGATCCTTAATGATTGATATGTAAGCACATGGTCACTCTCTGTAATTTGATTCATCAACTCAGTTTTACAGCAACATGAACCCCATGCCTATTCAAGGTATGAATCACAATCTACCTTTGTTGTGAATACAAATGAGTGAATGACTATAGCCATTTATACACACATAAGAATAAAGAAGTAGGCATGGTCCTAATTCAATTTCTAGTTTCCTCTTAGATACCAAAATTAGTTAGTTGCCGAGCCATTTCTTATTTTGGTGCTGTCATCAATCAATGGCTATGAAATCCTAGGTTGTTTTATTCACAGCCCAAAAAATTAAAATATAAGTGAATCATGAAATCCAAGGTTGCTTAATTACTTTAGTCTTGTATAGTTAAAAACAAATTAAAAGATGCTGGTGTTAAGTACCAAAAAGAACCCATATCTATTTAGCATCCAAAAGGTATCAGGCTTTGTTCCAAAATCCAAAAGTTAACCTCCTTTCATGAAACAAACGTAAAGCATTTAGCAATGTAGTTGTCTGTCCTTTATAAAATTTTCAAATTCTATGAATTTGAAGTTGAAAACAACTGAAAGTAAAACCCAGCCCCAATTTGAAACCGTTCCGATGGTCAATTCGCTTATACACGATGCGGACAGTATACCCTAAACCTAATTCTAAAGAGGCGGAGTTATAATTGAAAGAAGAGGAAATGTAAATTCGTCAAACTAATGAGATTATAACTTCATAGCCACTAACATAAACTCAGAATGAGAAGTTGCCAGATCAAATCAAATAAACCGTATTCGTAAGAACAGCCGGAATTAACAAAGCACACTACACGAATCGATAAGAACAAATTTTGATGTACAGTAAACTGATAAAGAATTTGAAGTAGTTACCAGATAGGGTTCTAATCAATTCTGAATCGTGATGAACTTCGAAGAGGGATGGGAGAAGGGAAAAGAGGCCAAATCGCAGATTTTACGTTCTTGCCCATTTGAACCCTCGTTTCCCAAAATCGCGGTTCTTTTGCATGTTTCCTTTTCCTTGTAATATTTTGCTAAATTTTAAAATTGTGCCCCAAAATTTGTGCTGCATTTCTACTTGTGCACATTTTCTAAAATAGTATTAAATAAGGTTATTTTAGGTTGTCTTCGGTCGGCATGACAATGGGACGGGAATGAGACGGGTTTTGTAATCCCCGACTTCGGTCCCGGTTTTTAGTAACAGCCCCTGACCCTGGGCCCGGTCCCTAATGGGTATGGGGATTAACATCCCGTCTCCGATCAAACCCCATGAAAAATAACCATTAGTTTGAGTCTACCGGGGATCCCTGGCCCCAGACCCGGTTTGAGTCTACCAGGGATTCCTTGCCCTGGTCTTGGGACCCGTTTTAGCGGGAATCCCCATCCCTGTTCTGGTCGGATAAGCCAGGGTTTCCCATTGAGTCGGGACAAATCACCATCCTTAGTCTTTGGTAAAGTAGCTAATATATAGGCTTATTTGTATTTGTTACATTTTTATAAGCTAGCTAGTGAAATAATTATATTTAACAAAATTATTGATAAGTTAATTGAAAATTGTAAAGTGATAAAAAAGAACATGTTAAAAATTAATTAATTTTAACAATTCATAATATTATTTAAAACAAATCACTAATAATATAGTTAATTAATACAAACTAGATGATAAAAAAGTTAAATAATGTAACATTTAATTAATAAATTTCGTTTTGGTTTATTATATGTGTGTGTATTTATTTATTTATTAATTTTTTTAGATTTATATAACTAAATATGAATTTTAAGAAAAGATCTACAACAATAAATGATGATTTTAGATAATCATTACATATACTATGAATAAAAACAAAGTTGATCGGCCTTAAATATTTTGATTTATTAAAAAGTTATCAAAACAATAATAATTAAATTAAATATTTTATTATTAAAATATTATTAAAGATTTATCATCTATGAAAAAAATAATATAACTTTTAACTTCTATGTAATTTATAAAACATTTTTAAAGTCGTTATATTTAATTTTTGATAACTAAATATGTTGAACAATAATAAAAATAACATAAAAGAAATTTCAAATTATTAATATGAATGAATAACTGCAATTAATACTAATTGATAATTTATAATTTATATTACTTTTTGTTGATAATAATAAATACCATACTATAAAATACGGTTTAAAATAAAGTGTTGAGATCAGTCAAACTCGACTATATGTTGTTTAGTCTGACCGATTTAGATTTATATCATAATACAGGTCTCGACATAATTTACTAAAACTCATAATTAGTCCAATTCATCTAAACCGCTAATTGACCGCATTTTTATGGTTTGGTTTAACCGATCTCAACACTTCATCTCAAACCAAATCGGTATGTAAAAATCTCAAACTGTAAATTTGCATTTTGTAATAAAATGCTTAAACCGTTCATACTAGACCGCAAACACCCTTAGTTTTCAAGAACCTTTCAATCTTCCATTCATATTACTTATAAAACGGGCAAAATAAAAATATTACAAAATTTTAAAGATCTTGTATGTTTTATTGATTCATACTTGTGTTTTAGGGAAAAATCTAAAGAAATCTTATGGACTTTCATATTTTGAGTGATTAAGTTATTGAACAATTTTATTTGAGCAAATAAATCTTTGGACTTTATGAAACCTATTAAGTAGACCCTTACGTTCTATAAAACTAGTTAATGTGATAAAATAATAGAAAATCAAAAATTTTACAACATAAAATTTTAAATGTTTTAGAATATAATATAAACTGTTGGTGTCATACAATATGAGATTCATACAAAATTGATTCTTCGAATGTACCTTCCTTGAAGTTTCCGAACAACAATTACAAATCCAATTATTTATTTATTTGTTATTTTTATAGATTATTGACTTCGTGCCTTCCACGGAAGAAAAGATGTTGTCAGAAATTTGGATTATTAAAGAATCCAAATTAGGTTTATTTTATTGGTATAAGTTTTAATATATAAATATATAATTATATCATTATAAATAGTATGATATAAAGACCCGAACGATGAAGAAAATCAATGTTATTAATCAATTTCCATGGGTATAGAATTGGTTATTGTTTTCTCAGTGTTGGGGGTGTGCGTCATCGGTCTTTTGGGTGCAATTATTGTTGCTAGAGCCTGCTATGACAACAAACAAGACCAAAGCATTGAGAAAGATCACAAGCCTCATGAAGACGAGATACCAAAAGATGAAACCAATCAAGATAAGCAAGATACGGAGGAGGTATTTGTTGATTGTTGGAGGCGTAGGCGTCGAAACGGTGGTGGTGGTGGTGGTGGTGGAGGTTGTGGTGATGGTGGTGGTGGTGGAGGAGGAGGTTGTGGTGGTGGTGGTGGTGGTGGAGGTTGTTAATCGTTAAATGGCTTATGAAATATTATATATATATAGGGAAGGGTTCAAACGAGAACCCCTGTGATTTACGAGAACGCAAGAACAACCCAATAACCTCATATTGTGATAAAAAATAAAATTAAAAGATTTTTTAAATTAAAATGAAAATTTAAAAAGATTTAAAAAAAATTAAAATTAAAAGGGTAATAATGGAACATCAAATCTTTTAAACACGATCATTATTATCATTAGTCTTATCAAATCTTTTAAACGGTTACGAAATAGATTAGGATTGTACTAGGTGTGATAATCATGTGATATGGGTGTGATAATCATGTGATAGGGGTGTGATAATCACCATTATACATCATTTGTGTTATCGTTTTGGTTGATAAGTTAAAATTTTGGTGTAATCATGTGATAGGGGTGTGATACTTATGTGATAGGGGTGTGATAATCACCGTTATACATCACTTGGGTTAACGTTTTGGTTGATAAGTTAAAATTTTGGTGTCATCATGTGATTTGGGTGTGATAATCATGTGATAAGGGTGTGATAATCACTGTTATACATCACTTGGGTTATCGTTTTGATTGATAAGTTAAGATTTTGGTGTAATCATAAAATATGAGTGTGATAATCATATGATATGAGTGTGATACTTATGTGATAGAGGTGTGATATGAAGAAAAGATGTTAAGCCATGGAGATTATCATGAACGAAGGAGAAGAAGATAACTACCAAGAGAAAAACGTGAAACGTGAAAAGATAATTATGGTTAATTAAAATAAAATAAAAATTATAAAATTTACTTAATTACATTATTGTCCTTATTAAATTATTTATATATAATAAAAGTTAATTTATTAATTAAAAAAGTTTGAGGTTATTGGGTTGTTCTCACGTTCTCGTAAATCACATGGGTTCTCGTTTGAACCTCCACCTATATATATATATATATATATATATATATATACACACACTTTCGTTATTGTGTAAAGTTAGATCATCTACGGAAAAATAAAAAGATCTTGTAAATATTATGTAATTAAATAAACAACTGATATTGTATTAATAATTAATTAAGTGGTGGTTTTATTGGAAGTTTAAAAGGGGCTTGTGGTGGCAGTTAATTCTATAAGTGGTTTAAAAAATATGTGTATTTTATCAGTAATTTATTTCTCGTTTAACAGTTCTTACCAAATAAGAGACTAATATTTGGTAAGAAGAATGCTATTTAAAAAAATTTATTTTGCTTTTTAATGATAAAATATGACTCTTGTTCCATCGTCACCAACACCGTCGTTTCATGTAGCAACCTAAATTTCAAACAGAAATGAAAATACAACATCTCAACATCAAGTGAAGGCCTAAATACGTCACTTGTTAAAGTAGTAAAGTCCATGTGTTGACGGTTTATATATAATGATCTACACGGTAATGTATGAAAGTTGAGATATGGTCTTAATATATTATTTTATTACTATAAATAAATAAATACGATTTAGGGAGTGTATTTTACTTTTTATCATAAAATTATACATATGTGTTAAATGAGCTTGACTAGTTGACTTAATAGAGTTTTTTTAACAGAGTTAGTTTCAGTGACAAAAAACAAAATGAAATGAAAACCACAATAAAATTAACTTTTAAAGACTAAAAATGAAAATAGTTGTAAGTGAGAAACCATATGATCGAAAATCATAGTTTACTCTTTTTAATATTATCAATCAAGGCGAATGATCGTGTGAGAATAAAAGTTAAGGTAAGAAGCGTAAAAAGATCTACACCCTTGATTACCTTTGATGTCAAACCCATCCATGAATCACACTTGATACAAGGATTGGTCCGGTGTATCTCAATAAATCTCATCTCGATACATCTCATCCTAATATATATCCAAGTGTGAAGATCATTCTCATATTAACTCTCTTTTCACCGGATCCCAACTCTATCAATCAAATGTTCACTTTTTCAAATATAATTCAAAATGTCTAATGATTGTTTCTTCAAGGTTCTTTTTACTTTTCTATTTTAACCCTCTTGATTTGGAAGAGGGTAAAGACAAAATAAAATGATAAAGCATATAATTAATTTTTTGAATAATAATAATAATAATAATAAAACGATAATAATAATAATAACAACCTATTACACAACCCAATTTTAAAATAATAGTAGCAATTAAAATAATATGATAATATTAATTGACAAAGATAAAATAATATAAAATATTTTTGTATTTAATAAATTATTAGAACTTGTAAATACATTGAGGAAAAAAAAAGAACCCATTCAATTTTGGTAACAAAAAGGGATAGACACACATTTTCCTATGATGTCAACTAGGGATGGACTCAATATTTTTCATACGGTTACACCTTCTAAAACGATATATATGATTGCACCTTTTACGAATCTAATTTTTTTAGCTCACAACAGGAAGACAATACAGTGGTACGTGCCACTGTAGCCACCACACTGGGTGCGTCCCTGATGTCAACATGGAACATACTTTTGATGTAGGAACTCATTGAGCATAAGAACTCAAATTTCACTTATAAATACTACAAAATTTAGTTTTTTATTTTGTGTAGGAAATGCGGATGATTAAT